TTAGTCTTATATAGCATCTTTTAATTTATGCATAATATTATTTAGTTTCCTTCTAAGGTAAGTTTCCTTGTTTGTTTACACTTCTTGTAATATATAAAACTTAATTATTCATTAGAAACCTAATTTCTGGTGGCTCAATTATTTTCTTCCTCTTCTTTTGTTCTTCTTCTCTATATGTTTGATTATATGTTATCAATTTGACAGGCTCAATGAAAATGTGAAATTAAGTGACACGTTTAACTGTAATTATCATTTAATATCATATTAGTGTCACATAAATTAGTGTTTTGACATCAATGATGCTCAATAATATTTATCTGTTAGAAAGGTGACTTGTGAGTGGTAAAGTAGGGTAGGGTGGGGTGGGGAGGAGTGTTGTGGGGTGAGGGATTCTAGAAGGTAAAATGTATTTTCTTCTTTCTTGTGGTCAATGAAGGGTCTTAGGTTAGTTTACGGGTCATATGACACTATTACAGCTGTCGGACTTAATTTGTCTGAATTTTGTCAAATGGCCGAAAATGTATATATGTTGTTTGATTATGAATTCCTTTTAAAGTGATGCTAACTTGATGAGTTGGGAATTGGATACGATTAAGAATTGAAGATAGTCTTACATAACTATCTCGATAATTTTAGTGGCAGGTTGACATCTTTTTTATAATAAAACCAATTAACAAACAATCCTATCAATTAGGCTCCACCTAATTAGCTCTTTTATTTTCATGCAATTGGGGATGTTAGGTGTAATTTCTACATTATTTTCTTTCGAATAAAAAGTCCATCAACTATTGACAGTAAACAAGAACACATTCACAACAATAGTATATTTACAACATACATACTTCTGAGGGCATGCTAAATAAATTGTAACAAACATTCATAAAATACATTAGGGAGACGGACAACGTCGTTTATCCTAGCAAAATCATCATCTAAGACCATACCTATCAAAGTTATCGCTAATCATTATTTTTATTTTACATATGAAAACTCTAAGCTAAAATATGTAGATACTCTTAAGACAGTTTTCGTCTTGAGCATCATAGTATCATCAATATGTTAAGAATACATCCATAGGGCGGGTCGGTGGGAGCCCTCAAGATTAGGGTTAAACCTTTATGCTAAGAATACATCCTGTCTGTTCTTTTTCGGGGTTAGGAAGTGCTCCAAAAATGTCTTCGTGTAGTGTCAGTCCTGCAAAACGTGACTACCTAAAACCCATTTAATATTTTAACTTCTTTTTCGAGTACCATCGGACAATTAGCTGGCACCTGTCTGTACAATCGGGAAAGACCAGTTCTTACAAGGCCCTCCCTCGTCTCCAAGTATCTTCTCATTTGTCCACCAATCGGAGCCAATTTTATGCTCAATGGAATTTCCACTATCGATATTGTCGAAGTTGAATTCTTTGGCAGACCCAAGAGTGATATTCCGACTTTTTTTATGCCACTGTCGTTCATCATCACCATCTGTACGAGCTTTTACGGACGCGGTGTTGGACATTTCCCCAGTAGAGGACTCGTGCACAATTTCAATAGGGTTTTTCTCTCCAGTAAATTCCACATTCTCAACAGGTTCAACCACGGCTACAGGTAAAGCTGCTGGTTTCTTTTCCACGCATCTTATAACTTCTGGTGTAGTTATCTCAAAAGAAACTCTATGATTGACCACTGTCTTATCATTCTGCAATCCTTTGCATATATCTGGAAGGGGACCAACATCCGAATCCTGACGGTTTAAAAGTAAACTATCACGAGGTCCAGGCCCCACAGCATCCGGAGTCAACGTGCCAGATCCTTGGTGTGATTCCCCTTCGCGAAGCACCAGCTTGTCCAAGTTAAAAAGCTTGGAAGGGTCGCCAGTTCCAAACTCACATTCGAGAAAAGGCGATGAGGTGCCTGAACTAGGTGAGATCAAATGGCTCACTGGACTTCCAGGTTGAAGTTGATAAGACTGAAATTCATAATGAAATATAGGGTATCTCTCACCAGCTTCACGATTTTGAAGATTAGGTTCAAGAAGACGAGCAAATGGCACCTCGGGAGATGAAGGTGTAGTCAGGTGGACATATTCCGGGGGAGGAGTAAATGGAGCAGTTGATGGTTCCGTAGTGATGGTTGAGAAGACCGGTGGAGAGACTAATTGGGTTTCATATGCGTAAGGACCAATAGCGAAAATTGATGCAGGCCCACTGGGGGAATACATGCTTGCTGATATAGAGGTGTGCAATGATAGGCCAGTTGGCGACTGGGTTGCCGAAGGAGGTTCTGACAGAAAGAATGACGCAGGGGACGAAGGAGGTGCAATGAAAGGAACTACTATGGAAGGAGGTTGAGTCGGATTTTCATATCGGAGAGCATCTGCTCCTGTCTCCGGAGTTTGGGGAACAAGAACGGCATGTCCAATTCGCTTGTTATTCTTGTGAGATCCGAAACACCAATAAAGGCTCCAGCAGCTTCCCCACCTTCTTTTCTGCAATGTCAATCACATACGCGTTTTACTTGAAAGCACATTAAGATATCTCTGGTGTATAACTGATGTTAAACATAAACTAGTAAAAATAAATACCAGCACCAACAAATGGATTATAATTCACCTCAAGATACTTCCACATGATGTAATGCCATTAAAGATAACACGGAAATTTAGTAGTCAAAAGAACAATTGACACATTAAACTATTCCTCATTTAAAACAAATAACACAAATGCAAGAACGTCAGTACCATAAATTCTACAAGCTATTTAATAGAAGCAGTAACATTAACGGCGGGGAGATTGTGTAAACGAAAACATAAATTGCTAATTATACAGCATTGTATTCAGTTGGTTCGCATTACATCTTCCTCGAATTCAACCAGTAAAAAAATCATCTACTTTATCGTAAATGTTAAAAACATGAGAATCAATATGCTCAATTTTTAAAAAGGAAAAATCTATTTGTACACCATGCTATACAGGCAGCCCCCTCACATGTTGAGGGGCCCACATGAATATTAAATTTGTGAGCCCCTCATTGTGAGGGGCTGTAAAAGTGTACAGCAGCTGATTACTTTACAACAATATGGATAAGATGGTAAGTTATGCCATGATCAGCCAATATTGCTTTGCTTTACATTCCTTTTAGCATATAATCATGCCCCATTTTATAAGTAACTGAAGCTAGTAATGAACACCACTGATTACTGACATTATGGATAAGATGTTCGGCCACATCATGATCAGCGTATATTTCTCGCCTTTACATTACTTTTACCAGATCAAGTGTATGTTTGGCAAAGCTTTTAAGTGCTAATGAGTCAAAAATCATTTTTAACCACACATTCCTTTACCCCAAATTTATCTACTTTTTAACCATGCATTCCTTGAAATGCACTACTTTTGAGCACTTAAAAGCTTAGCCAAGTAACTTTCTGATTATATAGAGTAAATTTCATATAACTTGTTCCCATCATTAATTTCTAAAGAACTCACCAAACAACCTTTATTGCGCGTAGAAAAGCAAACAGAATTTTACAAGACACTATTAAGAGTGCTCAAAACCGCAATTGCAATCGAGTTCATGTCCAATTAATCTAATTTATGATCCAATATTTTTTCTTTTAAGGTTTCTGATCAAACTTCAAACGAAATATAAAATTCAAATACAAAAATCAAACACCAGGTCTCATTTCTCATACGAAAATTTTACCGTAAACAAACATCCAACGCTTCAACTCAAAAAATTCCGCAATAAAGCTATCAGAATTCGAGAAAAATCAATCTAAATTGAAAAATCATCAATAAGCTCTTAACAAAAATACATTCCACGACAAATTATACCTGAATCGAAGATTGAGGAAATCGATTTTCATTCAATGAGATCGCAGTAGCAGCGGCGTTTATAGTCTCCAGAACATCGGTTCCATTAACACCTCTCCTCATCGTATCTCCGGTTATTTGAACAGATAATTTTCAGTCAAATTTTTTGTTCTGAAAATTTCTCCAGAAAAGTAAAGAAAATATATAAAATTTAACTGAAACATTTGTCCTAGATTCACGCAAGAGAGATGAAATTTAACAACTATGTGTCTGCGTGTATAGATACACAAACGTGTATGAGGGTGTATGTATAGGCTGTAAGTATTAGTGCGGAGGTCAAACGCGTCTATGACTTAAAAAAGGTCATTATTTAGTGATGATGATGTGACGATTATTATCCGGTGCTAATTGTGATTTATTTTAGTTAATTATTTTAAGTTGGTGAAATGACCAAACTCTGGGTTGGTCTTGTCATATTTGCCTGTCTTTATTTTCACTTGCTTTGCTCTCTATGCCTGTACATGAGATTTTTTTTTTTTTTTTTTTTTTTTTTTTCTTAAAAAAAAATTTTTTTTTTTTTTTTTTTTTTTTTGGCTTTCTAGAATATGAGAAGATAAAGAAATGTTGTCGATTTTTATGGTCCATTTGACAAGATCTCTACTTTTTTGCAGAAGAGTGTTTTTTTTTTTTTTTATCTTATTTTAGTTTTCTTAAAAAAAAACTATTCTAATCAGATAAAATATTTTTAAAAAATTATTTTAACATGTTCAAAAGAAATTTCTTAATCTTAATAACAACTTTTTGTCTTTTCAAAATCTTTGTCAATTGGCCCTTTTTAATTTTAATATTTTACACGATCAAAGATGATTCAAGTAGGTGTTAGAAGGGCTTTCTCATGAGCTGTTGGAGTTTGGCTACGAAAATAATGAATTATTAAACACCCTATGGTTTCATATTATATTGTTGCAATGTTATCCTGTTTTGAATTTTGTGTAGATCAATTATTACATACATTCAGTTCTATGCATTTCGAGAAATCTACAAATATTTTTCACTTGTTCATCACTTTTTTCTATTTTTTTATGATTTAAACCATATATAAACACTTCCCACACATGCTAAATTTTAAATTTCTAATCTGTTCTTGACTATAGTTGTATCATACTGGCATTTGTTTGTTATCTTTTTCTATACAGAGAGCAGTTCTTTAACTGAAATATATTTAAATGGTGAACTATAACATAATTCTCAAATTTAATGAGAACCATGCGGCGAACTATGTGTTCATTATTCCATACAATCAACTTAACTTGTGAATTCAAATTTCAAAAAGAACACGCGGCAAACATCAAGCATTGCAATAAATTTTCAATTAAATTGATCATTTGAGTTGTTTGATCTTCGTAAAAACTTAGTTGTATTTGTGTGCGTCACTTTTTATTTTTTATTTTTCAAAGCCATCCCACTTAAACAAAGATTTACATGATTACATTCTTGAAAAATTGATTATAGTTTATTTGTCCTTTTAGATTTTAGTACAAATTTAAACAAGATTTATTAAAATTTCAGTCTAACCAAATTCGAATCTAATATTTTTTCGATTACACGACTAAATAGAAACTAGTTTACAAGTTGAAAAAAAAAAATTTCTTTTTAGTTTGAAAACATTTTTAAAGGGCTCCCAAGGGCAGTTTGGTACATTAGGGACAATTTTTTACAATAATCACAGAAAATCTTAGCCTAGCTTTTTATTAGTAATTACGGAGAAAACTTCAAGGAACAAGTCAATGCCTGCACGTGTGGGTGCCGTCATCCTTTCGTGCGCCCCACTGGGTAAGATGGGACCCACAACGAAAGTTCGTAGCTCTGCCTCCTTTTGCCCGCCACCTAGACTAACGTGCACGGTGTGTTCATCATTCCTTCTAGTCTCGTTACTATTTTCTTTATACATTAATGTTTCCAACTTTCCATATACCATTTCCAGTCCTTTTCTCTTTTCTTTTGTACAGTGAAAAATTAAGCCGTTGTTTGTTTCTCATTCTGATATGAAAATACATTTTTGAATAGTATATTGATGAAAAATGTATAATTAAAAAATAAAGAAAAATTATGAATTAACGTGTAATATTATTTTATTGAAAAATATGTGATTGAAGTGAAATCAAATGGCTGTTAAAAAATGTATTTTGATAAAAAAAAAATGAAAATCAAACAAGGGCTAAATATCGAGAACTTTGTGCTTTGGTAACTCTCTAGGAATCATGTTTAACCCTGAATGTTATCATAGATTCCGTAGCTGCCACTGTTGTAACAAATTAGCATAGGATGATGATTAAGAATGAGATTATGAAGAAAATTATTTTTTCGACGTTGATAAGATGTTCATAAATCACATCTTCAATGATAGTGTCAAAACTATCATGTGCGCTTAGTATCAAGTCAGACTCTTGTTCAAGAAATACCATCGAACGAATTATCTGTACTACATAATTTGTCTTCTTTCTCCTATTAAGAATTTTGGAACTTTGAAAGAAAAATAATTAAAATACATCCTCCCTAACGAGCAAAGAAACAAATGTGTTTTCTTGGCTGGCTTGGTTTGCAGGTTATTACGTCAGTCCGAAGGTTTATCCAGTGCGCACCTGAAGGGTAACGACAACGGGTTCCCCCGTTACCAAAAAAAAAAAAAAAAAAAAAAGGGAACAAATGTCACCATTGGAATTGGTTCTAATGCCAACTTCTAATGTAATTAAACTTGTCTCAGGGGTTGGATTTTTAAGTTTGCTATAGTTGAAAGACTCCTCAAAACTCAAAAGTCTAATACAACTCCTTTTTCGCTATAGTTTGTTCTTTATAACTATTTCTTTGCATCCCATTTCCATTTCATCGGGTCAATGGGTCAGGGTGAATAAATTGTGTAAAAATAAATAAATAAATAAATAAAATAATAATAATAATAATAATAATAATAATAATAATAATAATAATAATAAAAAGGGGAGCTTATAAAAGCGACAAATTTGATTCCATAATAAATTGTAAAAACTAGAAAACTTATGAAAATGACAATTTTGATTCCAAAGTCGGATACTCAAAATTCTAACCATGAAACCTCTGTATCCATGGAATATTTGCATGGCCAATTTCATTGTTGTATCCGATCACGATGTCAGTCATTTTTTTAACTAAATCGAGCATTTTTATTGAACTTAGAACATCTGTAACAGACACTTTAAATATGAAATGCTCTCTGTTTTAAAGAGTCAATTCCTTAAAATCATGATAAGTGACTCTTTAAATTAACATTTTAGTTTAGAAAGTGTGATTTGGAGAATCAAACTCACTCTTTATAATTAAATGCATTTAAAGAGTTTCAATTTTTCAATGTAGAAAAATAATGTAATAATCTAGATAAAAGCTATTTAAATTAAGACATGAGAAAAATAATATATATTTTTCGGGAGTCGTAAAATTAAAAGTTAAATATAAAGAGTTTGATAGAGTATTTCAAAATTTTAACTCTCTAGATTTATATATACCCTCCAAATAATAGAATATACTTTTCAAAATTAGAAAGTCTCTTGGAGATACTTTCAATTGTTAGGATTTGTTAATTAGAATTTTGTTTTGGAAGAGAATTAATGAGGTGAACCTTGCAATTGATGACCACATTCGATGCTTGAACAAGTACAAGGCAACATCACGCTAAGCAAAGGACTTGACATGCCTCGAATATCATTTCGAAACAAGTACATAAACTCAATAATCGTGTCTGTCTACAAAGATGGATAGAGTTGGTTGCAGACTCGGTAGATGGACACGGTTCTCGACGAGAAATCGAAGGATTCCAACTCGAAGGGAAACCATCTGATCATGGATGTTTGTGTACAGAGTCATAGTCCAACATGTCATTTAGCCACCTTTATTTTCGATTGGGAGGTTGATTCATGTTAAGGTTATGAAAGTCTGTATATATTTGACAAAGGGATTGAAAAAGATTTTGAGTTTGGATAAATTTCATTACGATATCACCCCACTATATGATGAGGATACTTTAGCTAGTGTCTCGAATTTCAACAAGGGTGCAAAAACTATAAAACAAACAGTTGTCCAAGAGGAAAATGTAGTGGCTTGCCCAGAAAATTTATCCCAAGGCACTCAATGGAGAAATTATCCACAATTGTAATACTTGAAGCCTGTATTGCTGACATGAGTGTACCACTAGTATTCACACATTCAGTCTTGTCCTTAACATAATCTTCTCAAATATCCTCGTCGACCTTTGAGTCAAAAATAGGTTGGCCATCAATATCCTCGCTTAAATCAATATTTTACAAATCGAGATTGAAGGGATCAAAAATGTTATCATCAATGTCAGAGCCTACTTTCGCTATGTCTTTGAGACTGTAAAACTATCGGGATAGAAAATCATCCATTTGTTGTTTCAACACCTCCATTTGAACAAATAGTTGTTCTAAGACCATCAATTGTAGACACAATTGTGTTAACACATTGCATGATTTTTGCTATTTAGATTTCACGAACATCCGTCTTTATTAGAAACTTGATTGTTTTCTAATATTAAAATAATGCGGCGAAATATGCAGAATGATGATCTCGAAAGATCGTTGATTCGCAAAGAATAATAAAAATAACCAAATAAAAATAAACCATTATTATAGACTTTAAAGGTAAACAAGAAGTCTTATCATTCTAAATAAAGACAAATTCTACAAAATAATCTACACAAATCTGCTATTAAAAATAAGATATTAACCCCGTTTGGTAGCAAATTAGCAATTTTTCACTCCAAAAAATCAAAATTTTGAATGTTATTTTACTATTCCAAACGTTATTTTTTACTTCTTCACTCACAGATGGAACCCACTTTTTTCTTTAACGATCAAAAAATCAATTCTCATAATTATTACCGAATAGGTTATCTTGATATTAAATAAACAAAAATCAATTTTCTTCAAAATAACAAAAGTGTCAACTTGATAGTTTAAACGATGGAATTTGGTCACAAATCGAAGGGCTCAACGGCATTTGTCCACGAGTTCTTTTAAGTGAATTGTTTCTTTCCAGAAAAGTGAGATTTTTTATTCAATTCAACATGGTTTATTGGTCAACCAATCCAATTACATAGAAATTTTTTATAACTCACCCTTTATTGTTTTCATTTATCTTTTTTAATTTTTCAATGAAGCGATTATTAACGAATAATATTGTTTTAATTAATGAAGGCTAACAATCAGATATTTCTCAAGATACTTATATAAAATTAAAAATTTATAAATGCAACGTGAAGGCTTTATACGAATATTATTAGATTTCATATAAATAT